GGGAGAAAAGGTGGAAGCGGGAAGAGGTATGTTTTTGATATTAGAAACACGGGAAATGAGCTGCCTTATTGCATTGAGTAAAGTGACACAGCTGCTAATTTGAAGCTGATGGTTCAAATCCAAAAATGCGAAAAAACTAATCCTTCTACGGTTTGTTAAAATTCATGCAGAAAATAAATAGGTATTGGTATTTTCTGAGGGTTCGGAACTATGGTATTGGTATTTTCTGAGGGATCAGAACTTCCTGGAAAGGCACAGCCATCGACAGCCTTGCCGTTTTGATTTTGCCATTACCATTCCATTCGAGTTACTTCTCATTTGCTTTTCAAAAAGAGTGATGTGCACGTGGTTTTGACTTTTGACTTTGACATGGCTTATCGGAGCTGACGGACTTTTTTTTTCGATAAATTAGAAAGGGGATTAAATGTTCTCGCAGCAAGTATAAGTTAAATTTATCACTGAAACGAATCGCTTTTTCTTGAGATTTTGATATTTTTTGAGTTTTTTCAGCGATTGGCTTCGCTGATTTACGTATTTCTTTTGGACCATATCGTTCCGTGCTGTTGCATTTACACGTCTTTATTCTCACTGAATAATTTTGAGGCTAAAAAAATTCTATTAAAATTTGTAAAAGCAAAAATGCCTTTCTACAGAGAGGTGTATATTTTCAGGAACGAAATCGGAGGCAGTTTGCACCTGAGCAGGAACAACGATCGGATCAGGGTAATGTTATGTGGGCTCGAAAAGGATTGGAGCAAAGAAAAGAGAAAGCGGGAAACCAGAACGGTGTTGTCCCGGTCGCGCATCAACAGCACCATGAAGCAACCCCAACAACCAGTGTTCGGAAGGCAGAGCAGGTAAAATAAATAGCAACGCGTACCAGACTAACCGGTGCGATCATGCGTTTTGTGCAGTTCAGCCCATCGAACGATTGCCTATTAATGATTTTCACTGCTTTGTGCTTTTGTTCATGCAAAAATAGTTCAAAAATTGAAAAATAT